GCTCCTATCTCATCAATTCTACACCCAACAAATGCCGTGAAATTTTTCCCGTGCATAGATAGTACCTACTACTTTTATTTTTTTTCTTGGTAAATTGTTAGAAGAGACCCGTGAAAGATGTTTATGTTTCATTCAGCTTTTTATTTAAGAAAGAAAAAGAGAAAAGCTTTGTTGAAGCATTAAGAAAAGACGAGGGAGACATCTAGTTTGACCCTCAACACAATACAAGGAGCATAAGCTTAGGCATTCGTCTAGAATAAGAAAACAGGGAATTGAAAAGCTTTATTTGAAATTGAATTGGTTGTGGATGAGCTTGAATAATCTTATATTTAAAGGGATACGATTGAGGAGCAGTATGAAGAATCTGACATAGGTAATTGATTTTAGAATATATACATGCATATATATATATATATATATATATATATAATATGGTGACATAGACTTTGTATTTGCCATGTGGCAAAGTTTCAAAGTTCATCTAGGCTCAAAGTTTCTCGGGAAGGTGAGAACAGTGGTAGAATGTATGGATCGTCAATTTCAGATTTTCAATTCAATTTCCATTAGGGGTGTAAATACATAGAATTCAAATCAGATCAGACAATATCCAAATTTGAATCCGATTAAATATTCGAACATTCRATTCGATTTGAATTTGACTAATTAATTATTTTAGGTAATTAATAAATATATAAAATAAATATTTTATTTATATAAAATATATAAATTATTTATATAATTTAATTATTATATATAGATTATATAAAATATTTAAAAAATTTATATATTATATATAAGAGTTAAATAATCGGTCGATTTCGGATATTTATCGAATCGAGTAAAGTCATATTCAAATTTGACCGATTAAATATTCGAATTATTCGAATTCGATTCGATTATATCAAATCTCAAATTCGAAATCGAATTTTCGAATACTGTTGACACCTCTAATTTCCATGTGTAAAAGAAGCCTGCCCTGTCAAAAGAAGGCGAAATGAAGGAATGTAAAGTGGAATCAATATAAAAATCTAACGTATCTACTATGGATGTGATAATTATGCCTTTGGTTTATGCTGAAGACAGAAAATAGCTAAGGATAACCAGGCAAAGACCGTTTGGTGGGAATTTCTTTATCGATGAGAATCTCGTGCCTTCAATTATTTATGCATATAGCGAAGCCAATTTTGGAAGGTAGTAGTAGTAGTTATGCTACATCTATTTTATATGACTTAATAATTATACACTACTTAACAAGTTTATCATCAATAAGATTCTTAAATAATCCCAAATTTGATTTTGGATTGAGAATTCAAGAATGATTAACCAAATAAAAAATCTAAAGGGATCTTTTGAGGTCCCCCTCCCTAAACCATACTAATGCTGTATTAGAGAGAGAGAGCTGCTGGGAATTATATAAAATTCATGAAGACCCTTAAGGCATTCACCATGATATCCTCTAGAGGGACAGCATTGATTGTGCTGCAGGGGGATATTTTTATTATTATCATTTTTTAAATAACGTTTGTGCTATAAGTAATGTTTTCAAAACTGGATCAGATCAGATGGTTGGTGTGGAAAAACCAATAATTGGTTATTAGATCGGTTCCGTTTTACCTTAAAACTGTTTTTTGGTTAAAAATTATTAATTTGGTCAGGGAATTGTTGATTTGGGCAATTGAACCGTCGAACCATTAACTCGGACAATGGTTTTTGGCCATTTTTTATTTTTTATTTTTTTTGTCAGAGCAAATCATCTGTTCAGATCGGATAATCGGGGCCATTCAACCTAAAAACCAGACCCAAAACGGTTTCCTATCCAATCCGGTTTTAAAACCTTAGTTTAAARAAAAACTACAAAATACAGTTTCTTGCTGTTTATATTCTATACCTAGTATATGCAGCCTCTGTGAGCTAGGCTATGCTAAAAGAGAGCATTCACATATTTAGTTGATCAAATAGAGCAAAAGATTAGTTTAGAGAGTTAAATATCGTGATGGGGGCAATTTTAAATCCCGTGTGATCTTGAGTTATGTGCATTTCTTTGCCAGTTTCTCAAGTCTCTTTCTTTATCCTTTCTACAGTGAAAAGTAAGCAAACCCTTATCTAGCATGCATGAATTCCCTAGTTCAGTCCTGCTTAGTTCTCCACCCAACAAACATAAACAATTATTGAGGAGAATTATAAAATAATTTAAATTTAGCTAAAAACAATAYGGTTCTACCTTACAATCAGATTGTTGAATAAAAAAAAAGATAGATACAGATTAATACTATTTGTTTGAATTTTGAAAAGCCTCAAACCCTTTTTGCATAATGTATAGAAGGGTGGGGACCTGGACACCTGGTTGGGCAACTTGATTAATTAGGGAGGAATCCTTATCTTTGGGTGTTTGTTTGTGACCTGTGAACCCCTCCAAACATTGTTGTCCAATGGAAAATTCAAAGATGATTAAAAAACGTGCCAAACAAGTATGGAATGGAGCCCACAAGTAACCAATAATGTAGAGATTCTTCAAATAAGTTGTGTTTGGTTTTATAAAAAAAAATAAAAAAGAAAAGCTCTTAAGGATTTTCTTTACCAAACACAGCATAATCAATACATGCACGAGACCTATCATAATTAGCAAATTCTACAACACCTAAAGAAAGTTTGCTGCTTGTGATGAATTGTGGTTTATTAAATGTGAGATTTTGGGCCATATATCGTATGGCAAAGAGATCGATATTGATRAGATGGTAAAATTCGAATTTATGTAATTCATGGATTTTTTTTTCCTGACAGGCAAGGTGGGACCCATGAATGAGAAAAAATTAGAAGAAAATAGGTAGGGCCCATGAAATGATATGCCAATTTTGTCTTGTAATGTATCTTTTATGGCCCCATTAGATTTGGATTTGTGTGGGTGAAGCTTCCAAGAGGTTATAAACTTTGTTTATTAACTTTTATTAAGGACATTTATTCTTTCATAGTAGTATATTTTCTAATAATATTTCCTTCCATGTTGTTAACTTATTATATGTTATTTCAATGTTTTAGAAATGAACTTGAAAACTGGTTGTGGTTCCACCATCCAGTCCTAATGGATGTCTAGTTGCAATTTTAAAAAATAAAAAAATTAAGGAAAACTAAAAAATGGTTAAAAATCATTGTTTGGGTCAAATAGATCAATGATTTGACTGTTCGGGTCAGTAGATCATTAATCAAGCCAACAGTTTTGAGAAGATTTTGATTCAAAGATGAAACAAAACTAATTGCTTAAACGGTTTCTGTGCCAAATGGTCCGACCTTCTGGATCAATAACTGTTCAAAAACCATATTTCATTTCCTTTTTCCTCGTTTATACATATATCCATACCCGTAAAATTAAATTTTAACTTCAAAACTAAAGAGCTCCTTAGTTAACTGTTGGTTCTAACTCTTAGAGCCATTAATTAAAGCACTGACGAAACATTTTCCCTTATTAATTACACCTTGTAGACATGGTTTTTCTCTTCTAAGAAGAGTACATATATATAATTCCTATATTAAAATGCCGTGAAGATTTAACCTAAAAATATCAATATTTTGTTTTTAATAGAAATAATAACCTAGCTCAAATTCCAAAGATGATGCCTGTATCCTGTCCATATCCCTTCTTAATTACAAATCAAGTTTTAGAATTGTCGAAGAACTAAAATAAAGAGTTGAAATGATATTTTGGTAGAAGCTTTTTCCCCTATAAAATAGGCTTTTCTCGAGTCTCCATTTGTTGAAGGCAAGCGCCAAGCGAGTAGTTTTTTTATTTTCTTCTGTCTTTGCCATAAAAGTGGTGCAAGTATAGATGAAATATTATTAAGGCCTTAAGGGTGAAAATTTTTTCTCCCTCACTTCCTTTGGGGAAAGAAGATCGGGGAGAAAACCCATGATTTGATTGTATTAATACAACTTTTTCAAGACTTCCATTGTAAAAGTTGTTTTTTATGGCAAAGGAAGTTTGTATTTTTTCAATGGAAGTGAGAGAAAATTTTTACAATGTAAATTCTCATCTCTTTTACATAAAATTTTCTCTCATCTCCTTTACCATTGAGGAGAATTTGCCATTGTAAAAATTTGCCAAGCGAGTAGTTTTATGTTTATATTAACGTAACCCATGATTTGATTGGGGAAAGGAGATGAGAGAAAATACAACTTTTTCTAGACTTTATTATGGGTGAAAATTTATTTCAAAACCAAATGAGTAGATTTTTGAAGAATATATATATATATATCTTGCTTTCCATGTGTTCTCTCACAGGGAAGGACCACATGTATTTAATTATCAAAACAAAAGGGATACCCCATGTATTTGAAGGGGAGCCATCAACTAAAGTGGGAACCCTATCACATTCTTGGATCTTTGAACACCTCTAATTTGATCAAGTCCACAAAAAAGAAAGAAATCCAGTGGTCAAATTGGGCTTGCCCTAGGATGTAGAGAATCAATCCTGAACCACCATAATCCATATTTGGTTAACTACAATACAACCAAATCAAAGAGCATTGTTGATTGGAAAAGAGATTGGTTGGCCCTACCATCAACTCAAGAGCACAGGAACCACCAATCAATTAGTGGGTCCACAACTCACAATTCTCAATTCCAGGATCCAGCCATAGCCTTCTCTTTCAGTGTTCAGTGATTCAACGTAATAACTACAACCAAATCATGGATCCAACATGGACATAAAAAGCTATATCCACGTAGAACCCACCTCTGACAGCTGTTTGATAAAACCTAAAACAAAAGGAAACAAAAGCTATGGCGGGACCACCGCCGCTCGCTCCCTACAAAAACAAATTAACAAAACAATCAACCTACGCGGAAAACAAAAGCTCCTCTACCCCTCCTCCCATGTCTTCTTTAGGCTCCAGCTTTCAAATTGTCCAGCTGTGTGTTTGCCAGCTTTACTCTCTAGTTTGTAGTCACGCGTCCTCTAACACCATCATAAAGACATAATCTCTCTATCTCTCTCTCCCTCTCTCCTTCACGGGCATTTCCTTTGTTCCTACCCATCACAATATCCTCCCTATATAAATCCCTGAAAACCCAACTCCACTCAACACAAAGTTACAAACGTTTCTCTCTGCTTTCTCTCTCTAAAGTGTCAACCATGGCTTTTTCCAATGGGGTTTCAGTCCTCTTGATTGCTTTAGTCATGAGTTCTCTAATGGCCGCCTGTGCGGGTAGCTTCTACCAAGACTTCGACCTCACCTGGGGTGACCATCGTGCTAAGATATTCAATGGAGGCCAGCTTCTCTCCCTTTCACTCGACAGGACCTCTGGCTCCGGCTTCCAGTCCAAGAAGGAATATCTCTTCGGAAGGATTGATATGCAGCTCAAGCTCGTTGCAGGCAACTCTGCCGGCACTGTGACTGCCTACTATGTAATCACCATTCCCTCACTACTTTACTAGAAAAGGCTTACATAGGCTACGACATAGACTCAATCATCACTACTGTTTGTTTTGCAGTTATCTTCTCAAGGGCCAACTCATGACGAGATCGACTTTGAATTCTTGGGAAACCTTAGTGGAGACCCTTACATCCTCCACACCAATGTATTCACACAAGGGAAGGGTAACAGAGAGCAGCAGTTCTATCTCTGGTTCGACCCTACAAGGAACTTCCACACCTACTCAATTGTCTGGAACCCACAAAGGATCATGTAAGAAAACTACATTAATATTACTATGGTCAGTACTCTATCATTGTTTTCTGATGACATTAGGGCCTGTACGTTCTTGTTTCAGATTCTTAGTGGACAACGTTCCCATCAGAGAGTTCAGCAACGCAGAATCAATCGGTGTTCCCTTCCCTAAGAACCAACCCATGAGGATCTACTCCAGCCTCTGGAACGCCGACGACTGGGCAACAAGGGGTGGCCTAGTGAAAACTGATTGGTCTAAAGCACCCTTCACTGCTTACTACAGGAACTTCAACGCCAATGCCTGTGTCTGGTCTTCTGGGTCCTCTTCTTGCAGCTCCAGGTCCACAAATTCTTTCAAAGATAGTGATTGGCAGACTCAAGAACTCGATGGCTGGAGCCGGAGGAGACTGAGATGGGTACAGAAGTATTACATGATCTATAACTACTGCACTGATCTGAAGCGCTTCCCACAGGGTCTCCCTCCCGAGTGCAGACGCTCGAGGTTCCTTTGAGAAACGGCATGGCATTTGCTTTATTAGTATATTGAGATCAGTTTGTAAAATATCCGTTGGTGGTGATTCCTTATTGGTTTGTTTATACTCAAATTTTCATGTCTAAATTATATGTAATAATGAAGTCAAATAAATAATATTCTTGGTTTCTCGTTTTCCTTTTATAATAAGAGTATAAGACCAGATTTTATTATAAATAAATATCAATTACATTTACAATGATTGTTCTAAAAATAGCTGTCTAGTTGCTGATCACAAGGCCCATGAGACGTGTGGCTTCAGTCAAATACCATGAATTATAGGGTCCATGGTGATGTAGCCTCAAAACTAGTCACTCGAATACTGGATCTCCTTGTTCTAATGGGTTTATAGCCCTAGAGAGAACTGCACTAGCCCAGATCAAAATCACACCAAGACTCTGATCGTTTTTCAGAAAGTTATTTATCCACTAAAGAGATGGGAATCACAACCACTTAAGAAAAATAAATTTTTCATAGACTTCATATAAATCTGAAAAAAAAAAAAAACATGGATATCTTGGTCAATGAAAATCAAAATTCCATTAAACAACTTCCCCCTCTCAAAATTCAAAAAACAAATGGGCCCAAAGAAAATTGTGCCCTAAGCACCTTCCAACCTAAAACTAGAACCAGAAATTTGTAATTTGAAATAGAAGAATATTTTCTATATTTACTTGTGGCTGGGGATGAGGGACTGAGGGATGATTTTAATGTGTTATATGTGGGATTTCAGATTCAAACCAGGTCAGTTGGACTCAAGAATTTTTTTGAATTTCTTTGAATTTTTTGAATCACAAAGCGGTCAAGAAATTTTCTCCTTTTCTTGATTTTTTTTGTTTTTTTATTCCATGTCATTTTTGGAACAACCAATGAGATGCACTTTCCCAATAACCTAAATAATCTCTTCTCCTAAAATTTATCCTAAACTACCTCCCCACTTTCTCTATAATTATCTCTAATTCCTATTTATCCTTCCCCTACTTTTTATCTGTATCCATCTAAAGAAAGTTTTGATTAAAAATTTTAAGAATTATTTAAATATTCTAATAAAATTATATAATAACTTCAAAATATTTACTAAAAACACAAAAAATAATTTTATATTTTTACAAAATATATCACGAAATTATGTACTAACAATTTAAATTATGTTTTTTCAGATAATCAATGTAAATGCTATTCAAGTATTGAATAATATGTAATAGCGTTAAATAAATAAAATTAAAATAACAAAAAAATTAAATATTTTATATATTATTTAAATATTTAAATAACTAAATATTTATCATAACTATATTTTAAATAGTCAAAATAACAAAATTATCTAATAAATAATTTTATACTTTTACAAAATATATCACGAAATTATGTACTAACAATTTAAATTATGTTTTTCCAGATCATCAATTTAAATGTTTTTCAAACATTTAATACTATGTAATAGCTTTAAATAAATAAAATTCAAATAACATAAAATTTTAAATATTTTATAGATTATTTAAATAACCAGATTTTAAATAATTAAAATAAAAAAATAATGTAATAAATTTAAAAAATTTCTTTAAAGCAAAAAAATAATTATAACATAATATTGAAATTAATAATAATTTAATATTTTTACATAATATTTTAAATAACTAATTTCACTTATATCAAGTAATAATTCGAGAAAATAACTTTCAAAAAAATTAATATTTATTAATAATAATTTTAAACTCTTAATCTGTATTTATTATATAATTATATATAATAAAATTAATATTTATTGTATTTTAGTAATTATTTATTTCTTTTGTGATAAATGTATTTTCAATGATTATGTATAAATTTATTTTATTTTGTTATTTAATAGAAAACTTTCAATAATTATTGGAGATTAAACTAATATAGTAGTGAAATTTTTAAATTTAATTTATTGTACTTATTGTATTTATTGTATTTTTGTTATAAATTATTGATTAATATTTCTTAGAGATTAAACTATTATTTAAGATTATACTATTTATTGACTAAGTTAATATATTTTTAGTACTTATTGTATTTTTGTATTTTTTCATTATCAATATATTTTCAATAATTGTGTATTTTTGCTATCAATTTTCAATAATTATTGGAGATTAAATTATTGTTATTTATCAGAGAAGAGACTATTAGTTTAGTTGAAATTATGAATGTTCATAAGTTGGTTCGGTTCAATTGTAGGCTATTTGGCCAACCAAATTGATCTGGTCAGGTTGGGAAGTTGGTCAGTTGAAAGTCTGAAATTAGCTGACCTTTTGTGAAACCAACCCATTCAAGTTGTATCGGTTTGGGTCAATTTTTTGGTTTGGTCAATCGGTTCAAAAGATTTAAACTTAAAAATTAAATTTAATTTTAAAAATTATGGTGTAATTATTAAAAAATAAATTTAAAAGTTAGGTTTATGATATAAAACATTTTAAACTAAGAAACATGGGAAATTTCCCACTTTTTCATATTAAAAATTATATTTAAAATATAAAATATTAATATATATCCATGGTTAGGTCATTCGATTTTGGTTGATTTACAAATGGACAAAGTGAAATTGATCCTACTTAGTCAAATTGGGAAATGTTTTAACCAAAGCCGACCTAAAATACTAGAAAATCGACCAACTCAGGTCAAGTTGATTGGGTTAGTCGGTTTCATTAGTTTGATGAATAAACCTAACCAAAATTAATTATTGTTATTTTTATTTTTATTTTCTTTTGATTAAATTTATTTAAATGAACATTASGGTMAACACTRTCATTTTCCAATGTCATCTAATGGAAGATTGATTAAATCCATTACAAATTATAAGTGGTGTTTTAGTAAAACTGTAACTATAGGGTAGATTTTAGTAAATCCATGAAACTATAAAAAGTATTTTAGTAAATAACCCTTTCTATTATATAACTTTCACTTACTAAATCCAGTGCATCCCCACTAGTAAGTCATTAAAATAAAGAATGTCAAATACAACCTTAAATCCTTAACACCAAACAGTTTGAGAAATTGACAAAATGCCTTTATTTAGTTAAGCAGTTTCAGATCATGAAATATTTGGAACTATCAAACAAAATTGTCTACAAAAGCCCTCGGTCTAGTTAAATCTATGTCAATGTGCTTCTTATTACCATGATTTGGATATTGTAGGCCCAGATTTGATGCTTAATAACCATGCCAATTCTTTATTTTTTTTTGTTTGAACTACCTTAAATGTCTCAATGGGTCTGGCCTGCGTACACAAGTCCCAATATGATCTGGTGCCTATATATAAAAATTTTGTCCCAAAAGGAATTTCTCCAAAAATTCTGTTTTCGATAACAAACAAAATAAAATAAATTCGACCAGTGGAAATTAGATTTATTTGATCTATTCCTTACAATGCCATTAATCTTACAGCAATCATCTTACCAAAATTGCAATGAAAATTTATAAGAAAATTTGGAGAATACCATAGCAATTTTTTATTCTTTTAACATAGTAACTTGATATGGGGCAGAAAATGGCATCCAATCCATTTGTCTGAATTCGAATTCAAATTCAGTCCGGTTAAGGATGATTCAAACTTAACTTTTTTTAATTGGATGTAATATGGATATACCCCTAATTTAATTGTATGTGCTCATAAATACTAAAATTTATATTATGTCTTTTATAAATTTGTTGGTTTGAATGGTATATGTTTTTATTTTAGGCTTCATTCGCTTTTCAGTAAGTTATTTATTGAGGTAAATGCATGTATTTAGGTAAGTGTTTTTTAAAAAAGACTTATCTAGGTAAGTGTATTTATCCATGTTCTTTTGTTTTCCATGTAAATAAGGCAATGACTATTTTAGTCATAAAATCAGGGTCCATTTGGTCAGTTGGAATCGGAATCGGAATGGTCTATTCCCATAGTCTATTTGGTTCAGACAGGAATGAGAATGAAGATTAAAATCAACATGAATGGGATTTCATTCTCAAAGGAGGGGCAGGGAATGGTCATTCCCTCAAATGAGGGAATGTCATTCCAGCAGTAGTGGGAATGGAATTCCGATTCCGCCCAACCAAACGGTTGGAATCTAAATAGCCCATTACAATTCCAATTCCAGACCCTTATTCTCGCAAACCAAACGGGGTCTCAATTATTAAAATGGGGTATTTTTGTCCCATTCAAGTGTTGGCAACATTCCCCATAGGTGGGAAAGTTATTTACCTACCTAGGAGATGGGTATTAGGAAAATAAGCTTTCCCTTATACCCACATAAATCTGAAAAAAAAAATGGGCTTCTTTGTCAATACGAATCAAAATCCCATTGACCAACTTTCTTCCTCTCAAAATCCAAAAAAAGAACGCCCTCTTAGTGTCATAGGGATGATAACATTCTGATATTTTTTGTTTAATTTATCAATGCTACTTAAATCAGATTACAATTCGAATTTGATACAAGTCCAACAAATTCGTGTGTAGAATGCGAGTTTTTGACATATTAAATATTTATAATTTTGCGGTAGAAATAAAAAATCTGCATTGAACCTATCCGTATTTTTTTTAAAAATAAGTAAAAAATGAAAAAGAATGAAATATATACAAAAAAGATGTGAACAAAGGCCCAGCCAAAGGCTAGACCACAAAAAGCTCTAGGTCCAACAGACCAAAAATTCAGAACCAAAACCCAGAAAAGCTAGACCACTAGTTTTCTCGTCAACAGAAACCACCAAATTAACCAGCCTCCACCCTGCAGAATCAATCAATTTGGATCTATCTATAAACAAATTTATTAGATTTGAGAATATTCTGTTAATATTAGCTCTCTTCTCATAATACCTTATATATCTTCTATAAAATAGACATTTTATATGTGAAATTATTACAGATTAAATCAAGACAGGGTCTAATTCAAACACAGTACATCCGTATTCTTATCTTCTGTTAATAGATTGGATATTGGTTAATCTTAATTTAATATGGATCAGGTCCAATCCAATCTAATAAATACTTTCGAACATTAAGTCTGAACGTACTGATCCAATCAATATGTCTACTTGGACCGTGTAAAGTGTTCAAATTGATTTTGATTAATTGGAAAGGATTCCAACCCAAATCCGATCCATTGACACTCCTAAAAGCCAATCCAACCCCAATCAAAAGGCTT